AGTTCAATCTATAATTGCAGTTGAGTTGCTACAAGTCTGAAGTAAAATATGACAGAACAGACATGCAAAGAAATGGAAGTAGAAAAGTTGGGTCTGCTTTAAGTTCAGAATGGATTAGCATGAATTAATGTGAACCTAATAGGTTACAAGAAAAGATGCATGAATTAAAGAAACACTAACCAAATCAGTTTGAATTAGCTATAAGCTAATCTTTTCACAGTCATGAAATGAGCATAACAAGGATCAATTTAGCAGACATTTTGCAATGTCATTCAATGGTTTTTATTTTTCTCTATACAGTACATTTTAGACTCTCTGTAATAGGAGCTATCTTGCAGCAGAGGGCACCAAAGACTACCACATAGATGTATGCATTTAGTAGTGTAAATCAAAGATTGTAATGAAAAGCTGAAGAAATATTTTATGATCTGACAATCTCAGGAATTTTGAAATTCATCATATCTAAAAACATTGTTTACAATTAATAATAGGAGAAACAATAAACACTCATAATTCAAACAAAAAAGCATTTATTACAATAAGCTAACTCTCTGAAGCAAGTAGCTATTTTAATAACTTTTTCCCTGCTTTCATTTTGATGAATGTATTAATCAATTATGAAAATAAAATTTCTAGCAAATATATCATGACAACATGGGCTGGCCTGCACTTCCAAACTTTAAAGAAGGATACACTGCCAGTTAATCAACATCACGTGAAGTGTTAATATCACTTTATAACGCATTGGTAAGGCCACAATTGGAATACCACATCCAGTTTTGGTCACCATGATGTAAAAAATATGTTGAGATTCTAGAAAGAGTACAGAGAAGAGCAACAAAGATGATTAGGGGACTGAAGGCTAAAACATATAAGGAACGGTTGCTGGAACTGGATATGTCTAGTTTAATAAAGAGAAGGACAAGGGGTCTCATGATAGCAGTGTTCCAATATCTCAGGGGCTGCCACAAAAAAGAGGGAGTCAAGCTATTCTCCAAAGCACCTGAAGGCAGGACAGGAAGCAATGAATGGAAACTAACCAAGGAAAGAAGTAACCTAGAACTAAGGAGAAATTTCCTGACAGTTAGAACAATTAATCAGAAGTTGTGAATGCTCCAACACTGGAATTTTTAAAGAAGAGACTGGACAGCCATTTGTCTGAAATGGTATAGGGTTTCTTGCCTGAGCAGAGGCAGATGACTAGATGACCTCGAAGGTTTCTTCCAACTTTATTATTATTATTATAGTTTTCCTTTAAAAAAATTATTTTATTCCACGTTTTCTTGAACTTTTCCTTCTCTTCTTAAGAAGCAAGTAAGCATGCACACCAATCAGTCTGGCACTTCCTAGGACTAAGAGACGGAACTGGCCCAAGGTCACCAAGATGCCTTTATGAATAAGGTGAGAATAAAACTCACCATCTCTCGGTTTCCAGCCTGGTGTCCTAACCACTATATCACACTAGGTGTCTCTCTTTCAGCAATGCATTATTATATAGAATAACTTATACTTGCTGTCCAAATTTTCTATCTCTGAATCATATTGGCATATAGCAGAACTTTCCCCCAACTGATGCTCTCCTGATTTGCTTGAAATCTGGATATGAGCATATTTGGATTGCTACAGATTGTAGACCAGAGATGAACTAACAGATTTGGATATTGAGAGTTCTCTTTATTCCTAAAGTCTGACTGAACAATAAAAATATCATCAAAATAATTTTCAGCAAATCATTTACTTATTTAAATGTATTGTAGCTCCCAGTTCTGATGATTGGTAGGATTGAGAAAACTTACTCAGTCTGCTCAAATAGTGTCTGCCTATTACAAATGAAATTATATTTCATATGGTTGCTGCTAGTATTTCTCTTAGTTCCCTTCTTTTAAATTTATTTTCAAGAATTATAACTTAAAACAGAATTTTAACAATGGTGCTGCATTAATGGAAAGATGGTGATTTATACAAAAAACATGTTATTTTGGGACAGTCTCCTTTAAAGTGAGCATGACTTTTGATAGAGTGTCCCATCATGAATAAGAGACACAGGAATGGGCATTGTCTTCTACCCACTTACAGTTCACCATACATGTGATTTCTGCTCACTTTGTCATGTTCCAGCTGAACAATATTTTCTGACTTCTGCTAGTGTTGCTTTGTCCACTGTGTTTTTAATTTATTTCAAATAAATTCTTGAATTTACACAGACACACGATGCTGTCCTCTGGCCCCATTTTTTCTAAAGGTCTGTTGCAGATTATTCTACAATCTTTCTTAGGATCATAATAATTATAACACTTGCTTAACATGAAGAACACCAGAGTTCAAAACCTTGCAGTAATTGTTTGTATTAACAGTATTTTTCTACCTTTAATTTATCTCCCTCTTTTCTCTTAAACTGCTTTAAAAGCCCCTCTGACATTCTTTAATTTTCCAGTCACTTGAGTTAGAATGGGTTTTTTTTGTTTTAATTTTAAAGATAATTATTGTATGTATATATATATGCTTTAACTTCCTTATATATAATTTCAGTTTTAATTATATTTAATAAAAGTTTGTGTCTTGATTAAGACTTGCTTACAGTGCTTTCTTGGGAAGGAATAACAGCAAGGAATTGTCAAGTGGATACTATGTTGGCCTATTGTCCAGACTGAATTTTTTATAAATTGCAAAGGTGTTTCAGATAGGATTTTTTTTCTTAATCTGACTTAAATTTATGATTGGCAGAAAAACAAGGCAGGTACAGGTTAAAGATACAGTATGGATATGCTCACAGATAGATCCATGTAGGTTTCTTGACAAGAGGACTGAAGTGACTTGCCATTGTATTCTTGGAACAAATTTTTGGGAATTTCTTAACCTAGAGCACTAATATTTTCCAATAGTCACACATAGAAGTACTTCTGATCCTATTCAGCTTTTTGAAAACAGCAAAGATGAACTAGTTGCTGCCACCTAGCTGGCATTTTTTTTAGATTAATGTCTCACCACATCTTATCATGATGCAATTAACTGTTTTTAAAGTATCCACAAGTATTTCTCAATCTGTCCAAAGTATTTGACATAGAAAAGAAAATCTAAATTTGAATTATTAATGTTGAGTTACATGTAATAATGCTTTATCTATTATCTAGATAAAATAAATACTTATAAATGTTTCTGTTTCTAAGACAAATTTGCAGAGATGTTGGTTAAGTAGGGTTTTGATCCAACATGTATGAGTATATAATAGCCAATACAGCACTTGCCCCATCAAATTGTCAGCAGTCATATCACTTAATTTTTCAATCAGTCTTCCATTCCCTCACCCAAATAATTGATTTTTCTTTTATTATCAACCATTTTCTGAATGTGGGATATGACACGTACACACAAACATATTTCCATCTCATTTTCTTAACATAGACTTTTTAAAAATAATTCTGATTCAGGAGAGATTTCACATAATTTATATACTGTAATGCAAAATATAGAATTCACCATAGAATTACATTATGTTCTAAAGAGTATTACTATGGCTAATACAATTTAAGAGATCTTTCTAAGCAGGAGAGCAGTACCCATGTCTAAACGAAAGGATATGCGTCATGTTAGCATTTAATAGTCCTGTTATGATTCTGTATTATTTGTTGCTGCAGCAGTGAATGCCTTTCATTGCCCATCCCTGGGAAAAATCAAAGCTTTTTGGGAACTCCTGTTGCTCCGCTCCATAGGCCTCATGCTACAGAACCATAAATGTTATACTGAAAATCATTCTCTTTCCCCATTACCAAATAAATAATTACGCAGTCTCCTGTGGGATTGAAGCCATTTGCTGATTGGTTCCATGTTTTATTGATTAGAGTGCTATGATGAATTGGTCCCTGAAGAGGGAATGTCTGGGCTGTAAGCAGATGGTTGAGAATGTGCAGAATTATAATGATCCTTTGCATTCAAGGGCTACCACATGATAAAAATTGGTAGAGATAAAATTGGTAGAGCAGATAAAAATAACATTCATAGAGAGCTCTTGCTCATATCATGTAAAGGAATTTATTGCTGACCTTGGGAAGGTATGAAAGAACCATCAAAGGAAAAAAGAAGCAAGCTATTAAGGAGGGACTTGGAAAAGAAGGAAAGGAAAAATGAGAAAAAATAATCACTTTATTCCACTTTGATTTTATTTAGTACAAGATAGGGTTGAGAAAAATCTGGACACACTTTCAAGATTCTGCTAATATACTGTAGGACAACAAGGTAACATTTTTGGAATCCTTGTGATGTCTGTTTCTTGACCTGATCTACTTTGAAGAACTGATTCATTAAGATTGTCCAGATAGGAATAAGCCATTTAGGAGAAATAGATGATTTTTCCAACTCATGTTCTGAATCTAATTTGAGTTTCTGAATTTCACTGAGAGTAAGAAGTATTGTGAATTGTGCATAGAGACAGTGATCAACACTAATTCTTTTAGTACACCATAATACAAGATGCAGGATTCCCATTCATCTGCTTTCTTGGTTGTTGGTTATGCTTTCCAAGGAATTGAATTATCTTGCAGATAGAATTACCTTTTAGTTGACATTTTTTAATCTCTTTCTTCAAGACAAGTATGAGACATGCTCAGGAACCTTTCTGTTTAACTGCATTTTGATTTAATAAAGCTTTGAAAAGAACTGTTGCTGCCTATAAATTCTTTCAAAGGTTGTCTAATTTTTAGTGTGATGGTAAGGAAATGCACAAATATATATATATATATATATATATATATATATATATATATATATATATATATATATATATATACTTAATTTAACTCTGTTTTCATTAAATGCAATAGTCCTGTAAATTGCATCTCTACCCAGTGCAGCATCCTATCCAAAGACCAAGTGTAGCCATCAGCCTGAAAACCAATAGATTTCCACAGATTGAAGGAAAAGGTAGCAATGAGAATCCATTTCATATGTATCATGCCATATGTAATTTTTTGTTCTTTTTTTGTCTCCTTTTTCTCATTTCATAGGACCTGGTACAGGAATTGCAGGCAATGGATCAATGTGTCTGGCCGTACCACTGTGGCTGTTGGCAGCATCCGTGTTCTGCCTACTTAGTAAATGTTAATAACAGCTGAAATAAAAACCCAGAAACATCAAGAAAAACACACAAAGCAAAAGAAAAATCTCATACAGGAGACAGAGCAAGAGAGAGTGGGGGGATGGAAAGGACAACTTCTTTCACAACTTTTGTGTGTGCTGCAACAAAGGGAAGAAATTTCAGTGAAAGAAGAATCAGCCACATTTATTCTAACAACTGTCAAGCCACTGACCATCCGAGAGTATGGGAGACAGATTATCACACAATGAAGGCTGAATTCTGCTAAGGATGCTGAGATGCTGTAAAAAGAAACAATGAAATTTCACTTTATTATCTCCATTCTCTCATATCATTTTCTCCTCTCTCTTTCCTTATTTGCCTCCTTCCCTCCCTCCCTCCTTCAAGGAAAGAAATGGCCTTTGCTTTGATGTGGATAGCCATAATCTTTTAATTGGCCTGGTAATTTCTTAATCTGATATTTAGCTTTTTCAGATACCTATAAAGAATGATACAGAGTTCTCTAGCATACTGGTGTCTCATGAAGAAATGCCGCACAGCCCTTACCTCACTGTCTCTCCCTTAGGCTGTCCAATATATTTTGGGTATCTTAGCCTTGATGCTTTGAGGATGATAAAATTTAGAAATTTTACTCATCTGCCCTCTTGTTCTTGCCAGTCTCCCTGTCTCCTTTTCTCCCTCCCTCCGTCCCTCCCTCGCTCTCTCTTTCTCTCTCTCTCTCTCTCTGTGTCATGAATGTATGACTGCATGTTTCTGTGTGTGTATGTATGCATCTCTCTCTCTTTCTCTCTCTCTCTCTCTCTCCCTCTCTCTCTCTCTCTCTCTCTCTTAAAAGCATGCAAAGAAAACAGTCCCTGTGTACATAAACTCATCCTGTAGATAATGGCTTGCATTGCACATGAGGATGACTGTTTCGCTTGGATGTGAATTCTGGGTGATGAGATACACAATGGTTTTTGCAAAAGAATTTATTTTGACATCTTCCTGCAATCCCAGTTTTAGAATCTAAAATTTAGAGCACATCCTTGGGTTTCTCCTGTTAAACCTGAATAGCAATCAAGTATAATCTGTATGTTACCCTCATTACTCTTCAATTTTCCTTTGTCTACCTAGCCATAGATAGGGCCAAAGATTCTGAGCCTCAAGGAATCGGCAGATTTAATTATCCTTGAGCATGTTCAGTCTTGACTGAATAAGGATCACACAGGAACAATTGTAGCTATAAGAATCTGTTGTCCAAATCCCCATTCCATTCACTGGAGAGGGAAGGAGTTGCAAGATCAGCAAAAGTGGTTCACTCTAAGCTATGCAGGGTATTCTAGATGGGGACTTAAACAATTAATCAAAAAAAATATTTAATGGAGTCCAGAACTCCCAGGAAGCTAGAGAAATATGGATAGGATAGACAGCACATTTGAACATATATGTTGCATAACAGTAGAACGGCACATATAAGGCCTGAGGTTCTGTCATGGGACAATGAGAAGAGATGATAAGTTGCAGTCATTGGTTGGAGAAGAGCAATGAAGTATATCTATCACTTATTGGGTATATCTAATTGTACTTCTAGAACATATGTCCCACCCCTTAAATTATACTTTATTATGGCTGTTTATTATAAATGCTTGAAACTGATCCTGCAATCATTTACTACTTGCATTAGAGGCCATCTTTTCTGGACAGGGACATATCAGGCAGTTCCTCTTGCTGAGGGATGGTTTTTGAGAATACCAGTCACAGAATGCACAAAAGGGGAAGAAAAAGGCAAATTTCTGAATAGAAGAATAAGTATTTTTTATTGCCATAAAGATGTTTATCTTGCAACTGATCTAATGGATTAACCTGTGGCTACAATTATCCTAATTAGGGAAGTGTGAATCTCTAAAATTCTTGCTTTCTTAAAATCCATCTTTGTAAATTAATATTCTGGGCCAGCAATCTTTTTTCTACTGATTAAAAAAATCATAGGAAATTTTGTATGCATATTTGCAACATGTCATAATATATAGAGGCCTTATATGGATTTGCCCAAATTTATGTAATGATTCAGAAACCTTTTTTAAAAATGTGAATCACTGTGTTTCTTTCCTTGAGAGCTAAATTCCCTAATGCAGAATTTTAAAAGACAAAGTTTCTGAAGTAATCTCTTCAAACACCCTACTGCTGCGTATGTGTAACTTTAAGTATATGTCCTTTTTTTTTTTAGAATTTTTGTAAGAAGGCAAAAGCTAGCAGAGTCTAGTTTTAATCCTACTACAAAGTGTGATGGGAATGGAACATTCAAATTCACTTTTCAAATTGGTGTTGTGATGTTTTTCCCTTCCTTACACTAGTCCCTGTGCCTGGTCAATTTCCATAAGGAAGTTATTTTCTTCCTTTAATAAGGTGGTGGGAAAACCTGTCCCAACCTCAGGATGGTGAATTATACCCTGAACCAACATACATAATCATCATACAGCAATGAACAATGCTTATAACTATGCTAAAGTAAATGTAATTTTGCAACAACAATAAAAAATTAACGTGCCAATATTTTGATTTTACATCCTTTAAGAAGCCAGAAAGATTTTAAAAGCCATTTCCTAAATCATGATAAGGTTAGTTAAAAGAAGAAAATCAGTGTTAGTTGAATAAGAATCTATTTATATGCTACTTACCTATTTTATAGGAACAGCCTTTTTATACTGTGGTTATCTTTAGGGGATTCCTTTCTTTGTCAAGCCAAGTCTGTAAGGGCGGGTAATCTCTTCATTCCTGATGTGAGTTAGAGAGTTGTCTTTCAAGCGAGGCTTACCCTGGTTTGTCTCACTTATTACCTCACATTGGTTTGTAACCAATTAGGTACATAAGGATATAAACAAATCCTGAAAATTGGGTACATAAGGATTTAAACAAATCATTTAGCTGTCATCTGCTTTACAGAAAGAACAAGTTGAATTAATTAAAGTTATACTACAGTCTTGTCCCAAGTTGTACTATTTTTTTTAAAGAAAGCAGAGACACAGAAACTTAAACCCTAACCTTTAACCTAGTTCATTGAGGAAAGTAATTATATGCCAAATATCTAAAGATAAATGAGTGTAATCATGATATATAATATAAATCTAGAATTAATGTACCATGCTTAATGCTAAGTGCCCATTTGACTAGCTTCACAAGTGCAATTTGCTATGCAGTCCCAATTTGCTCATTAAAAATGATTAGATTTTCCTTTGGGCAACTGTTGGTTCTTTTCTAGGGCTTATCTACATGTAGTGAGAAGACACCCTACTGTTTCTCATGGATAGATTTTCACAATGTAGTCTCCATCTCATTCCAAGCTTGCTGTTGTGGCATGTTGAAGGAAGTCGATGGGGTTCTGGCATAAAAGGTTCCAAAGTTTTTGCTGACTTTACAGTACAGGATCTTCTTTGCAGAGAATTATAGGATATGGCTGATAAGCTGTGCTCCAGTTGCTCTAGCACAGTGGTTCTCAACCTTTTTAATGCCGCAACTCCAACCGGTCGTAAGTCGAGGACTGCTCCACCGGTCGTAAGTCAAGGACTACTCAACTGGTGCAGCATCGTTTGCAGAATGGGACTTTTGGCGGGCTCAGCAGGGTAGAGACAGCCTGAACAATTCCTATTGGCTTTTGAAAGCCAATAGAATTAGACTCTATTCAAGAGAGTCTATTCTATTGGCTTTCAAAAGCCAATAGAATAAAAGGGAGTAGCACAGCTAAGGAAAAGGGGAAAAAATGGTGGACTGCATTGTTTGGCGACCCCCGTGACCCACAGGTTGAGAACCACTGCTCTAGCAAGTCTGCTGGGGACAACCCAATCCATCTGGTTGCTGGGCTCTATTTCCACTGGTTTTCAGCTGGAGCTGCTTTACTTATGCACCCTATTTCTTTTGGAGGCAGTTTAGGAAATATCAACTTCAGAGTGAGTGCAGATCTACCATGAGTGCGACATTTGCATTAATAATATTGGTGCATGTTGGAGAAAAGCAATTGCAGAATATGTCTTCCAGGTATTGGAAGACTTGCATAGCAAGGCTTGAAAAGTGCAGAATAGTTTTTCTGTTTCCCCTTTTATTAATTGTAGCCACAGGAATATTGAACTATTTTCCTTCATTTTCAGTTCTAGTAAGAAGAGAAGCTCCCTACTGAAATGTCAGCCACCTTTTGCAAGTAAAACAAAATACCTCTGAAACAATGCAGTCCAAACTCTGAACCACACAGCACCATACTTTAAGGACACTGCCACTAGGTGATATTGGATAGGAAGGAAAAAGACCTCCAGGAACCCAATTGATGCCCTGAAACTGCTCCACATTACATTGTGTGAGAGGACCAATCTATTGATCTTATTGCTCAGTTGCAAAAAAATGGAAAGCTGTGGGGTACCCCTTTTTATATATTCTTCCCATCTTTGATATGGAAGAAAATCACCTGTTTGGGTGTGCATTTATGCATATAGGTGCTTTTTTTCTTTTAATGAACACTGCCCCCTATAAAGAACTCCTTGTTCCATGCCAGTATTGTAAAGCAGTTGTTCTTTAATGAACAGCAAAACAACTTCTCCTTCTTCTGTTTTAGCTATTTCTTTTTGCTGAGTTCCGCAATTTGGAGGTTACTCTTAGAGTCAATTAAGCAGACAGACAGACTTCCTAGTACCATTTCTCAAAGCTTAGAATTTACTATTGGATAGTTAATATTCTATAAAGGCGGGAAGCAGGAAAGGGAAGGGTGAAAGATATGGGCAAGAGTGAGATAGGAAAAAAAAGAGGGAACACAACATATAAACAGAACAAAAAGTATTCCTTCTTAGAAGCTGCTTAAAATTGTAGTAGCTATGTCTAACACATGTAGTTTGATAATAAACAAATGCACAGAAGAATGCTCCCCATACCTCCTGCTGCATAAGGGGTCTTGAAACAGTAAATAAGATGCTTTCTTAGCACTTGCAAGAATCTTGATTTCTTGTTCAATAATGATGTTAATGACCAACAACTTTTCAAATATGTTGAATACCTTTGAAAAAATCTTTCTCAAATGGATATCCACCATTTTTTCAGAAAGTATATTAATATTCCCTCTACTCATTAGCTATGCTATCTAGAATTCTGATATTTATCCCATAACATTAAGGGACCTATGTGCTGAGTTTCAAAGAAGTATCAATGCTTCAAGAAAGTATTTTTGTTATCATATCATCTGAATGATTGATTGATTGATTAAGTGATTGATTGTTCAGCTGATTCATCAGTACCACTAATTCTTCAGCCAACATTCTCAAACCAGCAAGCATTCATTTTTCTGTGGTTTGCAAACTCGAAGAGTTTGTTCATTTGTGCCTTCTGCAGGATGCTAGAATAATTACAGTAAGTATTTTCAGAAACATAATTAACTGTAGCAAGTGGTAGACATAAGGAGTTCTGAGATTGATTATGAAAGGGTATAAATTTCAGTTTATTCTCTTTTGTGTAAAAACATACCAACATTTTCCATAACAGGAGGAAAAGAATTTCAAGTCTGAAAATAAATTGAAGGTAGGGTAAAGAAATACTTCTTCCCAAATACTTCTTTGTTAAATTAAATATACATATAAACTCCACAGTGGAAGAAATTTGGGGATGTAATTTTCGGTGGAAAAATGATGGACAGAGAAGAGAATTGTTAAGCAACTTCTGTGTCTCTTCTGCAAGTAGCTTCTTTTCTGAAGCTTCTTTTCCATACAATCAGAAGTATGTTATACATTTGTGACTATTAAATGTACTTCTACACAAGCTTATTTCAGAAATTCACCAATATGTTCTGCTTCCAGAACATTTTTGAGATGAACACCATAATTTTGAATAAAATATGCAAAAGTTTCCAGAAACAAGAGAAAATTGGAAACTTTATTAGGCAAATGAGAAACTCATCTTATCCTTTTCTAATAACTTCTTCCCACCTTTCAGTGGATGCTTTTCAGCAGCAAGGTGATTGCATTTATATTGTAATAGATTTTTAGGGAAGTACATGAGGGAAAGGCCATTGAAATTAAGATTAAAGCCCATATTTCTGTTTACCTTTTGTGAGTTTCCCTTCATCCATTTGGATTTCTTAGGAGAGATGTTTCCACTGGAGAAGGGAAAAAGAGAGTTTTGATTTTTTTAAGACTGGTGGATTAAGCACTTTTCTCTCTTTCCATTCTAATTAAGCTGTCCTAATAGATGCCAACTCTTTCACACACAGTTCCAATTCATGAAATAAAATTCTTGTTACAAATTTTATATCCTTTTTTTAAAAATCTCTTTGGCTGTGATAGTAATAATGGAGAGAACTTTCACAATGACAGCTGGGGGAAAAAGAGAGTTTGTGTGTGTGTGTGTGTGTGTGTGTGAGAGAGAGAGAGAGAGAGAGAGAGAGAGAGAGTTAGTGCATTTAGCACTGAGGCCTAGCCTCTGTTAATATTGTTGGTTACATTTTCTGTTTGTTAGATGATTTGCTCCTTCAAATGCCATAGATGTGGCCTTCTGAGGAAGCCTTTATGTAATAAGGCCACAATTAATATTAGATTTTTTCAGGGTATGAGACTTTGTAATTGTATTGTGAAATATATTTCTATGAGGCCATTTTATTAATTTTAAACAATTGTTGAATTTTTCCCAACTCAAAACTTAGGTGTGTACATAGGCTTTCAGCTCTGTTTCCTTGGCTGTGAACCTATACTCTTATTAGGATGTGAATACAGCTGAATTCAATGTATCGTATTTAAAAGCATAGATTGTATGTCCATAACTGGCACTGTATTTACGTGAAATGAGAATGGGTATCCCCTTCCACCAGCCAAATAATTTGTAATGATACAGCCAACTTAAATTAGCAGAGAAATTCAGACATATCCATTTTCTTTCTAATTTCCTTGAAGGTGGAACATCATCTTTAATTCAGAACTGTCTTCCTTTATGGTAAATAATAGTTGCTTAAAAGTGAGAGGTCCAGTAATATTCATTAGGACAATTACATATTCTGCAAATAAGTGCAGAAGCTTGACAAGGATCCCACTTTCTGCTCTTAATAAACTCAATAATACAATGCTAAGTTATCCTGGTAGATATATTGGTAATTTAAGAAAAGTGCTGGAATACCCAGAAGAAAGGAAATCATTTGTGGACAAAAAAAAAGAAAAGAAAGAAAGAAATATAGAAAGGAAGATTAGAATGAACAGAAATATGTTGTGATAAATTTGTTGCTTCAAGTTTATCATAAGAGGCAAAGGTAAACTGCAAGAATCACTGAATCATTTATGGTTCAATGAAATGTGGATGGTATATAATAACCACTAAGGTATCTTTAGAAATGTCTGGATGTATTGACTGCAAACTGTTGCAAACAACACTAAGGACTTGTTTTCATATGTGATCTTGGGCTGACAATGGCTTCTATAATAAATTATGCTCCTGTTCTGAGTAGTTGCATCTCCCATCATTTGGCAAATACTTGTAGAATGTGAGCATAGTCTTGCATTTAACACATTTGGAAAGGAGTTAAAATCCTCTCCCTGTATTGTCTCTGTTACTTGCCTTGTTTTTTGTCAATGCCATATCTGTCACTTAGCTTTGCTGTGGTAGATCCATTTG